AACTGAGCCTCCCAGCCGCCCCCCAGGGTATCAGCTTTTCCCTCGAACTTTCTTTCCTCCCAGCTTTTCAGGGTTCCTTCTGGCCAGCTTGTTTTCTTTTCTTTTTTTTTTTCAATATATGAAATTTATTGTCAAATTGGTTTCCATGGCCAGCTTGTTTTCAATCAGGCAGAGCTCACCTCTCAGGCTGGGCCGGTTGTGGGAGGCGGAGCTCTGCCTCATGGCCCCGCCCTCCCGGGGAGCCTCAGAGCCCGTCACCTTCAGGGAATTAGGACAGAGACCTAGAGAATCCGCGGGCAGGTGTCTATGGGCCGGGCCGGAAGTCGCAGCATACCGGGCCCGCCTCCTGTTGGCCGGAACACGATCACGTGGCCCTGTCCGGCTGCAAGGGAGTCTGGGAAATGTAGTCCCGCTTGGGGCCCCGCGGGAAGGGAGGCCCCCACAGGCTCCATCACAAGCTCTGGGAGGGGGGCAGTCGTGAGACGGGTAAGGGGCGGGGGACCTGGAGGTGGCGTGGCGCGGCCTCCGTGTCCCGGGGCCTGCCGAGTGCGGCCCAGCCTGTTAGTCTGTTGTTCTCCATCCCCAGAGCGGGGCAATGGAAGGTGAGCCCCTGCAGACCTTCTACACCCAGCTGGTGTTGGTGCCCAGTGTGCTACACTATGCCCAGTACGTCCTCGTCGGGCTGGGCTGCGTCCTGCTGTTCATCCCCATCATCCATCAGATCCGGAGCCAGGTAGGTGGCGGCTGGAGGGAGGCCCGGGCCGAACGGCCCCCTGCTCGCCTGTCGGGGTAAGCGGGATTCGGATGGGCTCGCCCGGCCGTTCCTCCAGTCGCTCCCGCAGACGCCCTCAGCTTGGAGCCCGCCTTGGGCAGCGGTGCCATGTCTCTGCCCGGGGCAGGGGAGCTGCCCTGCGTCTCTGCCTCACTCGCGTCCCGCATTTACCACTTTTTTCTGCCTGTCCCGGGAGGCCTGGGGACCCTCCCTTGGAGGGGCTTTGGGTGGGCTCTGATAATGAGACCTGGTCCTTGAATGGTTTGCTCGTCAAGTCAGCACCTGCTGGGTGCCAGGTTCACGGCCGTGAACGAGGCAGACACGGTCCCGCTCTGGGGGCACGTGGCTTCCCTGTTGGGGAGACAGAAGACCAAGTAAATAGAAAAGATCACTCCGCTGATGATAAAGGTGGCGGGACACGTGACAGGTTAGTGCTGTCCGGTAGAAATCCGTGAGCCGCATCCGGGATTGGAAACTTAGTTTTTTTAGTCGCCACATCCAGTAAAAAGAAATCGATTTTAATCCTAGATTTTGTTTAATCCGGATAGGCCCGAAATACAGCCGTATGAACATGCAATCAATATAAAAAATACGAATTTAACTGTATTTTACATTATTTTTTTTTACGTTAAGTCTTTAAAATCTGTGTGTTTTAACACGGCAGGTCTTGAATCGGACTCACCCCATTTATTTATTTTTAAATGTTTTTTTTATTTTGAGAGAGAGAGAGAGAGCAGGGGAGGGATAGGAGAGAGCGAGAGCGAGAGAGAGCGAGAGAGAGAATCCCAAGTAGGCTCTGTGCCCAACGCATGGAGCCTGACACGGGGCTCGATCTCTTGACAGTGAGACCGTGAACTGAGCTGATATCAAGATTTGGACACTTAACTGGCTGTGCCACTCAGGCGCCCCTAGACTCACCCCACTTAAAAGACCTAACAGCCCTATGTGGCTACTGGACCAGGGAGCATTGTATTCAAGAGGGCTGGGACAGCTATAGAGAGCATCCGGAAAGCCTTCCCTGAAGAGGCAGAATTTAGGCTTAGATGTGAATGCTAATGAGGCAGTCAGCACAAAGTCACAGAAGGAGTGCTTCAAGCACACGAATAGCCAGTGCAAAGGCCCTGAGGCGGGGATGGGCAAGCCGTGTGGGAGGGGCCTTGGGCCCCCGCAGCACCTGCTTTCTTGCTTCAGCTTTGGCAAACAACTCTTCTGCTTTCTCCTCTTTTTGGGGGGCGGCTTGCACGCTTGCTTGCTCGCTGGGGGCAACGATAAACCTTCCCAGACTCCTAACATAGGTTTCGGACCCTTAACCCAATGTGCCTTCCAAATTCCCCATCCTTTAGGGGGAAAGGTTGGCCCTGGTGCCAGGGTGCCAAGGCCCCGGAGCTCTCATCATGCCAGTGCTCTGGTGTTTGAGTCCCTGGTGATCGAGGGGTGTAAACAGCCTGTTGAGGGCCCAGGGAGACCGGGCTGAGCAGACCTCGCGCTCTAGGGAGCGCAAGGAAACTCCCTATAGTTTTTTGCCTGATTTACGCTAGGAGGGTGGAGGGGACCAGAAGCCAAGGCTCCCAGCCTGTGGATCCCTCCTTGGGTGCTTCCAGCAGTGAAGGTGTACTGTCACAGCCAGGGGACCCAGTGGACTGGCTGGATGTGTCCTCTCTGTCTCCTAAGTGTCCGTCGAAAGCCAGAGGGGGAAGGAGAGTGAGGAAGCTCGTGGGAAATCGCTGGCTAAGGCCCCTTCCCTCCAGGCCTCCAGGCCTCACCACCCTCGGACCCAGTAAGGACGTCTGTTTTCACTGAGGACGCAGTCCCTACAGGTGTCACTGGAGGCCAAATAATGGAAATTTATCCCATTATGTATTTTTTTTGCGGGGGAACTTCGCAGGCGTTAGGCCTTACGTGTTTTTTTATTTTTTTAATGTTTATTTTTGAAGGAGAGAGAGACAGAGTATGAGCGGGGGAGGGGCAGAGAGAGAGGGAGACACGGAATCCGAAGCAGGCTCCGGGCTCTGAGCCGTCCGCACAGAGCCTGATGCGGGGATCGAACTCACAGACTCTGAGATCATGACCTGAGCTGAAGTCGGATGCTTAACCGACTGAGCCACCCAGGCGCCCCTAGGCCTTCCGTGGTTTTATGTGATTTGTCCTGATTTTAAGAAAATAATCATCATCACATGCTGGTGAACTCAGCACATTTTAATTG